CATGTATCAGTTCAAAACAATACTACTGCTTTCTTTTGAATATAAGTTTGAAAGTTTCTCTAAATTTGTAACTACAAAGAAAGGAAACTTTGGGTAAGGAAACTGACATCTTTTACATCTCTGCTTATTAGTTAAAGAGTTACAACTATAGATTCACACAGACATTTAATTTGAAGTGTTCCACTTTGTTTAAGAACATAAGTCATCAATAATCAGTAGTGGATATATCTACAGAATGCAATAATTTGTTAACTTTGTGACAGGTCTATTTGAAACTCCAAGCACATGCTGCAGCAAGAATGGGAAATAATGTCAAGAACTCATCAGCTTTCCTAAAGTCTCCAACTTCTACATTACTTCATACAATTAGTGAATCTGAGAAGGCATCATATGTTGCCCATATTAACAACTATCTCGTGGGAGATGAATTTTTGAAAAAATTCCTTCCTATTGATCCTTCTACAAATGATCTCTTTGAGATTTCCAAGGATGGAGTTCTTATATGGTCAGCATCAGTCTCGCTTCTTGTACACATGTCTCAAGAGCTTGTAAATCCATAGTCTGATTGTCAATTAAATTGCCCTTTGTTGCAGTAAGCTTATCAATGTGGCTGTGCCTGGAACAATTGATGAACGAGCAATAAATATGAAAAGAATGCTTAATCCATGGGAAAGGAATGAAAATCATACTTTGTGCCTAAACTCTGCAAAGGCTATTGGATGTACTGTGGTCAATATTGGGACACAAGACTTTATTGAAGGAAGGGTATGTGTCTCCTTATGAATTTCTGCTCATATATTTTGACTATGTTTCCTTTCGAGTTCCCTGGAAAGCATATTTCTCATCAGATGGAGTAGTGTTCTTTATCCTGGTCTTTGAGCAGAGTTAGTGTGATATCAATTGTTAGTTTTATGTTAGTCTAAATAGATTAATCGTTAGCATTATTCTAACAAAGCACTCAATAATTAGTTCGGTCTTTCCTTTCTCTTATCATTTGGTACGGCTGACAAGCTTAAAAGTTTTGTTACAATGGAGAAGTTCATTCTGCTCTGGACTCTATTGTATTCAAAGGCATTCAATTACCAATGTCCTTTCCCTTGCTGCCTTTGCAGCATCTGGTTCTCTGGTCTGTGGCTGGATGATGATGACTTTGATCAAAGGCTTGAGAAAAATCTTGTCAAGATGTTATTGAATTATGTGTTGCATGTTTACTGTTTTTTACTACGTAATATTTACCCCAACTCTAGACATGAAGAGTGTTTTTTCATGTGGTTTTTGTGATTGACATTCTTTGATTACCTTGGCCTATTGGAGTAACAATTACACTGCACTAATACTTTGTTGTGTGATTTTTCTCCAGAGGCATCTTGTTCTTGGAGTAATATCTCAAATTATTAAGGTGAGGGCTCTGAATGTATACTTTATTGAATACTTAATATGATTTTCGAATTTGCAGTTTTGGAGCAACTTTTTATAGGACTAGATTACCTTACCAATAACAGCCGGCATTAAGTTACAAAATGTTGTCACCATATATTTTATATATTAAGACACAAAACTGTAGTCTTATATTTCCCAAGGAGATTGATTTTTTAATCACGCTATTTCAGATTCAACTATTGGCAGACCTCAATCTAAAGAAAACACCTCAATTGGTGGAGTTAGTTGATGATAGCAAGGTATAGTGGACATTATCTCGTAAAATGATTTGTTCATGTGACTATCTTCCAAAAAGCTTGTGTTATGTGCTTCAGCTCACTTTTATTATCTCAGGATGTAGAAGAGTTGATGAACCTTCCTCCAGAAAAGATCTTGCTTAGATGGATGAATTTTCAATTGAAGAAAGCTGGATACAACAAAATTGTGACAAACTTCTCTTCTGACATAAAGGTAGATGGTTATGAATTGGACTTGTGTACCAATTGAGCATGAAAACAAATTTTCTTTAGATTTATTTTATATATCTGCAGCTTTGATTTAGTCCCTCCAAAGAAGATAGGTTTCCCTCAAATGGTGGTAGAGGCTCTATTGCTGGTGACTCTATTTTCTCTTCCCTAATTTTGATCAACATGAACAATAGAGTAATGGTTCTAGACATATTTTAACAACTACTCCTTCCACTGCTTCAATTTATGTGGCGTAGTTTTACTGACATAAAGATTTATACAGAAACAAGACTTTTGGAACTTGTGGTTTAGACATGCCATGAGAGTTCTGTGGCTTATAAAAGCATAACGCCGTTAAGGTAAAATGGAGAGATTAAAGTTAAATTGTTTCATGTAAAAAAGAGGACTCTGGAACTGACTATAGTGCCACATAAAATGTAACAGCGAGAGTATATGTAATTTCTTGGTCTATACATTGAAACTACCACCAATAGAGTCTGTTCCAGTTTTTTTCATTTTTCTTCTCCCAATGCTCCAGGGTGATAAATAAGTCTGGCATAGAAATATGGTATATAAGAATCAATTTGAGCAAACAACATATCCTTAGTACCCTGTGTCCTATGATAAGTGAGATGATCTGTACAAACTGTTAAATTTTATTTAAAAGGAACTGAATTCAGACTTTCTTGTCCCATACCCAATAATAAATCAAAACAGCTTTCAGTTTTAATCTCTTCTATATGGTTTCTCATTTTGTAGACATAATGCTAATTCTTAAGTTATCTAATTGCTAACGTAGGATGGAGAAGCTTATGCTCGCCTCCTAAATGTTCTAGCCCCAGAGTACACCACTCCTTCCATGCTCACTGTAAGAGACCCTTCAGAAAGAGCAAAATTGGTTCTGGAACATGCAGATAGGATGGGCTGCAAAAGATACTTAACAGCAAAAGATATTGTGGAAGGTTCTCCAAATCTTAACCTTGCATTTGTGGCACATATCTTTCAGCATAGGTGAGAATAAATTAAATGTCTTTTTTCACTCTAATTGTGAGCTTACTAATTGTTAGCTGTGTTTTTCTTTTTGGCTTTTACACCTACCTAGAAGAAGACAGCTTTAGCTGGTTCTTCTAAGTTCTTGAAGAACTTTAGTTGCAAGCCACATTTGCTTGGATTCTACCTTGGTACTTCTAAAAGCTACATGTTTTTATGCATTGCAGTGTCCTTCTATTTGCTTCTTGGATAATTACATGTCACTAGCTCACAGTATATGCCAGCAAAGAGATTTGAATAGAGAGAGTTGATTCTTGTACAGTTGTCGGTTGACCTGAAAGTAATTACAGGTTTTACCATAATCTAAAACACTTCTAAGACCTACTGCAGTTGTCATTATTACCACTCGTTAGGTAGTTGTTCTGTAACACACTAATCCATTCACCAATTTTGCTGTATAATGCTGATATGCTATAGTATTGGAGTAATGGGAAAACTTGTATTTTACACTGGGGCTTGCATTCTGTCAACTTTCTTGTATTTGATTATTTTGTTTCAATCTATAAACTGATCATTAATCTCTCATCTACAGGAATGGGCTCTCAACTGAAGCAAAGCAGATACCGTCTGTTGAGACATCACCAGATGAAGCTCAGATGTCCAAAGAAGAAAGATCATTTCGCTTTTGGATCAATAGTCTTGGAAACTCATCATACATAGACAATGTTTTCGAAGATCTTCGAGATGGGTTAGTGTTTCCTTGGTACCTAGTATAGAAATTTTCCCCATGGTAGTATACTAATACCCTGGAATTAGTTCAGTTTCTTTTTGATCCATTGCAAATAAAGAACTTCAATTTTGCTCGTAATCTTATTTGGCTTTTACAGAAGTTCTTTCATTAACATTTTTGTGAAGAGCACTTTCTGGCTATGTTTCATTCAGCGTGTATGTTTGCCTTTTGCAGATGGATGCTTTTGGAGACACTTGACAAGATCTCCCCAGGAATTGTTAATTGGAAAATTGCCACTAAACCTCCAATTAAGATGCCTTTCAGAAAAGTAGAAAATTGCAACCAAGTAGTCAAGATTGGCAAACAATTGAAATTTTCCCTAGTAAATATTGCTGGAAATGACATTGTTCAGGGGAACAAGAAGTTAATATTGGGTAACTTTCTGTTTTATTTCCCCACTGAATTAGAAATCAAAAGGCTTAAAATTATTATGGAAACCGCTTATTTCTTTGTGTTTCAGCTTACTTGTGGCAGTTAATGAGATGTAACATGCTTCAGCTCTTAAAGAATTTGAGATTTCACTCCCATGGGAAGGAAATTACTGATGCCCACATTTTGGAGTGGGCTAACAGCAAAGTTAGGAACTCAGGAAGCCAGAGTCATATGACAAGTTTCAAGGTATCTTCTCCACGCACACACATATATATTACTAGAACCACAGTAGTTTTGGGGTATCGTCTCCTGTGATCTCAATATCACAAAATCAGATTAAAAAAATGTAGTAGACAAACCTGTAAGGGGCTATTTCCATAAATCATGAATTTGCATAGAAGTCATTAAACATTGTCTCTTTCCACTACAATCAAGCTAGGTAAAGATCAGTTCCTCGTACAGCTAAAAAGTTTATACTGGTCTAAGCATCATTTTCAACAAGCTATGCAAGTGTTACTGTACCCATGGAACTAAATATGGGAACCAAGCTTTGAAGAAACAAATAAGTTCCATAGTAAATTGTTTATTCATTTTCCTTGCGATATCAGCTTTTGATGAGTCCAGATGCTTTATTTGCATTACTGTTGGCCTGAGGCGTATTTAGAAATTAGAATGTTGCAATCACATATTCTGCATCAGAGTAAATGTCCCATGTTGGAAATATATATATAGTCATTGGAAAAGGTATGAGTTGAATAAGGTGCTACACAATGTCCAGTTCATGTATTTAATTTTACTACTATTTTACTTGTTTTACTATGATGAAAATAGGTGTGGACTTTGTTTTTATTTACAGGATAAGAGTTTGTCAACTGGAATCTTTTTCCTGGAACTACTAAGTTCTGTTCATCCTCGAGCTGTTAACTGGAGTCTTGTAACAAAAGGGGAAACTGGTAATTTTCTTTTAGACTTGAACAGGTTCCTGCTTCCAGTAATTCAAGTCAATATACTTGCTTGGTGGTGCACAAAATAAATTGGTTCCTGATATTTTCACGCATAATATTTATAGTTTGGCATCACGATAACAATTTATCATCAAATGGATAACAACATCAACATACCCAGTGGAATCCACAATTGGGGTCTGTGGAGGGTAAAGTATACGCAGGCCTTACCATTACCTCGTAGAGGTAGAGATACCGTTTTCAAAAGACCCTCGGCTCAAGTGTAGCAAATCCAAGTATAGAGAGTAAGAAAACAGCGAGAAAAATGGAAGCAGTGCAAATCCTGCAAGAAAAGGACAAGAAAAACAAATAGTGTGACAATCAAAACTAACTAAACAACCAACTACAATACTACAACTAGTATGGCGACAAACACCTAAACCCTCGTAAAGCAAGACAATACTCCATTGCCTACTAACTTCGACCCTAAAATATGCTCTGCACACCCTACTATCTAAAGTCATGTCCTCGGTGACCTAGAGTTGAGTCATATCTTGTCTAATCAACTCTCCCTAAGACTTCTTTGGTCTACCTTTACCTCTCCTCTTATCCATTGTAACCAACCACTCGCACCTCCTCACTAGGGCGTCTCCACATCTCCTCTTCACATGTCCAAACCATCTCAATCTCGCTTTACTCACCTTGTCCACCGCAGAGGCCACTCCCACCATATCCCGAATATGCTCATTTTTAATCTTATCGCTCCTTGTATGCCCACACATCCACCTCAACATCCCTATTTCCACGACATGTATCTTTTGAACATGGGGGTTCTTGATTGAAACACTCCACCCCATACAATAAAGTCGGTCTAACCACCACTTTATGAAACTTATCTTTAAGTTTCGATCGTACTTTTTTATCACATAGACTTCAGATGCAAGCCTCCATTTCATGCAGGCTGCCCCAATATGGTATGTGATATCCTCATCAATATCCCCACTTTCTTGGATTATGGACCCTAGGTACTTGAAACTATCTTTCTTGGGGGATAGAGTGTCAATCCTCACTTCCACACTTGCCTCTTGCATTGAATCACCAAATTTGCACCCCAAATACTCTGTTTTGGTCCTGCTTAACCTGAACCAAAGTCTCTAAATATTATCTAATGTAGTTCGATGTAAATGTTGAGGGATGTCCGACTGAATTATATGGTGATTTTTGAAATAATTATCAGATCTCCTTTCACTTTTGCTTAACACACTACATATCAAGTGTAGCTTTTTTCCGAACAATAACTTCAGAAATATCTTAGTTAAATGACTGGAATACTTTTTCCTAAGTCACAGAGGTGCCGAGGTTTAAAAACATCACATTCCCAATAGCCTATCCTTTATGAACTGAACCCTAAGTATAACAGCTATATGTCTGTTGATGAATATAGCACAACCTTTTGTCTGCTTTTGCCTTACTATAGAATCTGTTTTGTGGCTCTAAAACAGACTGAACAGTTAAAGTAACTGAATCTTATCTTTCAATCAATTTCTTTGCATTTGGACTGCTGAATGTTATAGTTTCCTTCCTCTTCTCCTACTGTGAGGGGGCTAAGATCACACCTCTGAGAAACTTCGTAACCTGTACCTTTTGGTGCTTGTTTGTTTTCACAGTTCATGTAGTATGTATGCTTGAGGATGACTCTCTGATTCATTTAAAATTTTGAATGATGCAGAGGAACAGAAGAAGATGAATGCAACCTACATAATCAGTATTGCCAGGAAGCTTGGATGTTCAATATTTTTGCTGCCTGAAGATATAATTGAGGTAACTGTTCATTTTTATGCAGTTGTCTTTTGGTTATTTTTCTTTTACTTCTGTTAATTGCCGCTAAGACATTCTAATAATTGATGCATCCTCCTAAACAGAGGTTTCATATCTAATGATGCCTGATTATTTACTTTTTGGAAAAATAATCCCCTCTTTTAGGTTTGGAAGCCCATGGATTTAGCCAATGTATTGGGCACAACTCACAAGTCTCCTCTAGTATGCTGCAAAACTAATATAATGGTGTGTTTAATTAGGTAAACCAAAAGATGATCCTTACGCTGACAGCAAGTATAATGTATTGGCACTTGAAACAACCGACAGAGGACCAAAGTCTTGCATCTTCAGATTGTGATAGTAGCTCTGTGGACACAGCCTCAACCTCAACGTTGGACGATACAGCTTCTGAGTCTTCAGCGGATGATATCAGTAACAGATAACTGGGTGATTTTTCCAGATATATCATGTGCTGAATTTTTTAGTTGAAATTTCAAAAGATTTATAGATTGTTATCACTTTGTAGAAATTATATCATGCTGAAAGCCTTTTCCCGAAAACAAACACGTAATGTAGATATAGTAAGAAAGTCGTAATGAATTGGATATAGAAGGCACTGTAACGTGTGCCTCTGGTTGTATCATATCCATAGTGTCTTTTACGTTTTGTCATTACCTCCCTATGTAAGTTCCGCTTAGAGTTTAGGATCGAATCAATCATTTGGAACTAGAGTAATTAAAAACATTGATTTCATTTTTTTAAAATTGTATGTAGTTTATATTTACTTTAATTTATCTTTGATTAATTATTTACGTAGTTGGAATCATTCTTCAAGACGTGTGAAGGAAAGTTTTATATATTAAGTTGATAAACTTCTTCTCAAGCCATGTTTATGTTCTAAGGACCCGTTTGGTAGGAGGTATTAATCAAATGAGTCCATGAATTAAAATTTAGTCCAACAAAAACATTGTCTGATTACTTACTTTATTTAACCTAATTATGGTTTAGTTGTACCTCATATAAAACACTCATTCGAAATCAGACCAAACCAACAGATTTTGCAAAAGTTGCAGGTGCTGCAATCCACGGTTGCCACTCACGGACCTTAGGGTGACCCACAAACCATCCTGGTGGCTCACATGCAGCCCTCCCAATATCCATCCTTTAAATTTGATTGACGAATTGATAGGTAGGATCATGGATCAGTCCGTAGGTCGAGACCTTCAAGACCCCAGAATCCATCCTATGAAGTCGATCCACAGACTTACAGGACGAGTTGTGAATCAGTTGATGAATTGTCGATCAGTCCGTAGGTCGAGACCCTTGAAACCCCCAAAATCAATCCTCTGAAGTCGATCGACGGAAGATAGGACTAATTGTGGATCAGTTGACGGATCATCGATCATTCTGTAGGTTGAGACCCTCAGGACCCCCCCAAAACCTATCCTTTGAAGTCGATCGATAAACTGACATGACAGATCCACCATTGATCAGTCTGTAGGTGGCTTCAACATATTTTACGTTAGGGGTCTGTTGGTCATTTTTTATACGTTGGACCTCTAAACTATGTTGGTTAAACCCTAAACTACGTGGTTTTGGTTAGTTTTAGCCCAATAAACTAATTAGAATTTACTCTAATGAATTATTTACCAAAAAATTCATCAAACTTAGAACCAGGGAGTAGAACGAGTCGACCAAAGCTTTCCGAAATGCAATATGGTTTTCATCACTTTTAGCCCCGAAATTGAAAGATTTCTCTGTGGAATTCATCACCAGGTATGTGAGATTTCATTAGTGGGTTCTTTTCACCCATTAATTCCCTAGATTTCAGTCAAATTCTTGATTCATGTAATATCATCTAGACCTAGGGTTTCTTGAATGTTAGAAATTGTTGGGTTTTAGCTATTAGAATGATCCAAAATCAGATTGTCATGAAATTATTATCGTATTGTGTAGAAATTTTTTCATAAATTCAGAACCCTAGCTATGTAGTTCTTTTAGTTCATGAACTACACATGTTAGGTGTCAGTTATATCAAATAATATTTCATTATTCGTGTATTGATATTGCATTCTCAGTTTGCATGTAAGTACTTTGAGTTATCCAGTATTATAGAAATTCAGTCATAAATTGTTAATTAAATAATCAATTGGGAGTAGCTTGATACCGAGTGGACTAGGGTTTAGCATACCCAAACAGTCCCAAAACTACATGCCCCTATAGGTTAAGTCCCCTCTTCATTACATTTTAGTGATCACGCTAGTACGGTATATTGGATCCTCTCAGTAATGCGTATACATAGGACTCTACATTTAGCTCATGCGGTTTTATATCGGTTAGTAGTAGCTCGTTTACAGTCAGATTCTGTTGCATTGACCATGTTATCAATTACAGTCAGATTTTAGTCTCAACATATTATTAACTTGGTCATTGCATTCAGTTAGTTCATGTTTAGTATTCTCAGTATAGTATTAGGATTATCTCATATCCTTGATCAGTTATATGCTTTGGTTCAATTATGTTTATTGAATGACACGTCTCCAGAACACTTAACATCTCAACCTCAGGGACAGAACAACGAATAATCCCATTGGCACAACTCTGATATAAGTAAGGCTTATCCCAAAAGAACTTTTTCATATTATGCATGAACTTTTTCCTTTGGTGGAATGTCAAATCTGATGGAACTAGATCACTTGCCAGTAGTTCGCAAAGTTTGCGAACCATGGGATCATATCCTGAAATGAAGCCAATACATGTTCATCTGAGAATGCATCATCAATTTCAACCTTTTCTCCCGATTCTCGCATAGCTTCATCCTCCAATCTAGACAAGTGGTCGGCTACTTGATTCTCAGTCCCCTTTCTATATTTAACCTCTAAATTACTCTTGCATCAACAATACCCATCTGATCAACCTTCACTTCGCATCCTTCTTCGCCATGAAGTACCTCAAAACAGAATGGTCAGTATGCTCTATGACCCTCGTTCCAAGAAAATAGGAGCAAAATTTCTTGAATGCAAACACTATTGCAAGAAGTTCCTATTCAGTTACCGTGTAGTTCTTTTGGTCTTCATTCAGGGGTATACTCGCATAGTAGATGGGGTGAAGGATTTTATCTCTTATATGTCCCAATACAACACCAAGTGCAACCCCAATCGCATCACACATCAACTCAAATGGATCACACCAATCTGGTGAAATAATAGAGGCGCGGAAAACCAACTTCTCTTTCAACTCTCTAAATTCTTTCAAACAGGATTCATCAAAATAGAACTTACATTCCTTCTCAAGAAGTTTGCACAAAGGATGTGCACATACCAAGAGTTCCAAGAGTTCCCCTTCGGAATGCCAACTTAGTGCAATGAGTATATGGCGTCCCATACCACCACCTACCCTAAGTAGTACACTCTTTAAGAAGGCCTTGCATTAAGACTCCCCTTTCGGAAGGTCCACTTAGTGCATTGGATATATAGAGTCTCATTCCACTACCTACCCTAAGAAGCAAGTTAATTTACGAGATGTAGTTTATTGAATTCATATAAGTCTCCTGAAGACTCCCCTTTCACAATGCCTACCTAGTGCAATGGATAAATAGCATCCCATTCCACTAGCTACTCGAAGTAGTACACTCTTTTAGAAGACTTGGCACTTTCATTACTTTTGTGGGAATTAGCTTAACAGACATAGACCATGAGATATAGACATGAAATCCCGACATTAACCCCTATCAGATAAGGGATCCTCACTTGCCTAGAGTAAGGTCATTCTCTTAGATTTTACATGGTTTACCCAATAGCTACACGTATGCTGGTGCATATTTAAGGGATAATGAGGTTGCTACTAAGTAACTCATTCTCTACTAACGAGGAGTAATCATCTCAAGAGGTATATTAATATATAACATCTCAACTCATGAAGTTTAACCAACCCTTTTTCATCCTCTCGGTGCAAGGCATAACTCCACACGGATTCTAAATATTATATACTATAGGTTATGGATAACTAGTGAACACCACATGTCAACTCACGAAGGGCATTCATCCTCCGACCTATCTTAGAAAGCTCTTAGGATGTAATGAGGTTGTTACTAAACACTTCATCTCAACTGACAAAGAGTGTTCACCCCAAAAACTCCCCTTTTGACTTAACTTAGCTTCATTCATTCATTCATTCAAGTGTGAGTGTGTGTACACATGTGAACACACCTTGCACATAAGCATCATTTTATTACATTAAACTTCTAAACATGCTTAGACCTTCATGCATCACATCACATACTTTACATGCTTCGCATAATCATATAAGTCATTTAGACATAATCCTTAGCATACTTCTCATACAAGCTTCATAAAACAAATTAACAAGAATAACTTAATTTAAGCATACTCTCTAGCATACTTAACATAATAGCTTCATAAGGCACATTTAACAAGAATAACATCATAATCATCTTACTTCACATAACAAGCCTTCATGGCCTCATTCATAATAAATAAGTAACTTCACATTTATACAATTCAAGTAAACACCGCAACCAAGAAGGTAGACCATACCACTCTAGAATATTTCAAAATTAAAGTTAAACAACATAACCACCTTACCCTTTAGTCCAATCTTCCATTACCTATAAAATTTTACTCAACAATTCATCATAAATTAGCCGTTAGGTCAGTATCTAAGCAACAACATCAACTCAAAGAAACCAAAGCTTAATAAGTACAAATTCATGCTCATTTAACCCATTCCTTATGCCAAAACTTGACATAAAACTTTAACATGTTTTTATTGAAGTTTTAGCATTAAAATAAATAGCAAACATTATAAAAATCATATTTGAATCATTTAAAAATTTTTCATGCAAGACCCATATTTAGAGTTGAATATAGATGAAACTAGGGTTGAAGAATTCTTTTTGAAATCTACTGGAAAGGGATCCTTGAATGGAAGAGAGTTCAAGGATTACTACCATACCTCACATTGAAGAATCCCCAATATTTTTTTGATGAGTAAACTTCCACCAACATACCTTCTAACCCTTCTAGAGTTATAGGTTCAATGGTGACTTGAGAGAATCTTTTAAGAGGGAGGGGTTTTGGGTTTTAGGAAATGAAGTCTAAAATTAGGTCCTGGTTTGAAAAAATTTAATATATATAAATAACCCTAAAAATGACTTCTTAGGTTCATAAAAGACTTGGGGTGAATTTGCCACACACCTCAAGTCATTACAGGAAAATACAGTTTTTGGCAGGCTTGAACGACTGTTTGCAACCAACGGACCGTCTATCCATCAATGGTCCGTTGTTGGGGTTTCGTGGGTGTACACATAGATCCATTTAGAGCCTATAAAACCTACCTTGCAGGTAAAATCGATGGGTCAAGTCAACGAGCTGTTGGTTGGACCACTGGCCATCGTTTGCCCTCGTTTGTGGACACTGCCAAGGCAGTTTTGGGACTTTCTCTAGGACCCTTGTGGGTCCTAGGTGGGGTAGTACCCGGACGGTAA